GCTCTGAAAATCGCTCATCACTCCTGTCTTATCAAACGGCGCAGAAACATGGACGATGACGAACCAAGAGAGAATGAGAATGCTTTTTGGAGCATTCAAGCGAACAGTTCTCCGCAAGGTCTTTGAAGTCGTCCGCGTGAGCAATCAGTACCGAAGAAGATGGAACCACGAACTGTATGCGCTCTATGGCAACATGGATATACCTTGTTAAGCGCATCTACAAATGCGTTGGTTAGGCCATGGAAAATGCTTCTCCAGCGAAAAGCGCTTTCGATTCAAGACCCATGGGTATACAACGACGGCAACGGCGCCCATGCATCTAATGGAAGACCGAGTGCATAGGGACGTGTCTGCATTTGAAATGTACAACTGGCGTGACCTCGTAAAGGATAGAGGAAACTGGAGAATTTTAGTGATCTTAAGCCCGACCAACGCACTGTAGATGGTGTCAAAGAAGAAGAAATGAAGACTAGTATTGATGTAATAAAGATAAGATATAACGAAAAATGTATCTTTGACTAATGGAACCCGTTACCAGCTTGGTATCCTATACTCGAATTGGCAAGGTATAATTTCTGAAAGTTTGGAATCTAAACAACAGAAAAAGTAGGCTTTAAGTCAGTCAGACGATGTGAGGCAGTTTTCTAGTGATCAAATTTCCGAAGAGTCTTGCTTGTTTTCGATATTGTTTTCCAGAACCTGCTATGTTCGAAAGCAATCATTCAAAAGAAGTGGATCAATCGAGTTCGCGAAAAGGTTCAATTTCGGCTAGTATGGATAAAGAGTTATTTGTGCTAATTCCTTTGCTGCTTCACCTTGCTATTTTCTTACATAAAAAGTGAATTTCGTTAAAGCAATCTTTCGATAAGCTTGAAATGATATTCTATTGAAGAGGGTCCTAATGGTCGTTTCGCTAACCGAAAAGAGTAATTCACAGGTATTCTTCCGCCATTTTTTATTGTTGTAACTCTAGGATAGCGGCTTATTGTTACTTAGAGTCTGGCATTGAGTCTAATGCATGAAGCGGAAGTCGGAATGCATGAAGCGCTAGATTTTGTCCAGACAATCCGTTTAGCTGATAACTCCTTTCAAACGGCCACTATTGCTTGCAACTTGAAGTAGGGTTCCGTTGAGGGTTCCGGGAGACTCTAAATTTAAACGTTGGAGAACCTATAAAGGATATATAAATGATCAGATATATGGCTAAAACTAAGGAACTAGTTTGGAACCGTGGATATCGGACCACTATAGCATAAGTAGCTGCTATATAAACTGTCCGACCAAAATCAAGATAAAAATATTCATAAAAGATCTATCGAAGGTCGTTTATATCAAATTTCGTGGCTAGAATAAACTAGCAAACCTTTGGTCGTTGTTACAAGAAATGCACTTTTGAAGGGCATATGGCTTCGGTACAGCCGAAGTTAAATTTTTTGTTCTTGTTTTTATTAAAAAAAGTAAAATTTTCAGTCTAGTCACCTAAATTTGGTAACAAATTGAAAATCCCGAAATATAAAAAAATTCAAGACCGGCATCCCGAAATTTCGGGATTGACATTCCCAGGATATGTTTGTGTGTATTCATAACGGCAAGTTGTTGCTTTTATGCTTTTACAAATGTAAACTTTTTTCAGGATGTGGAGCTGGTAGTTGGAAATTCATTGGGTTGTGAGCATTTTGTTTACCAGAGAGCCGGAGCAGCAGAGATTTGCCCAGTATTTGAGCTAATAATGCATTCAACAAATCCAACGGAGGCACTTCGTAAGCAAATATGCAACACAAGCATTGAATACTATCCAGCCTCACACACACAGACTCACTGTGGTGGTGGCCTAGAAGACAAAGCACAAATTGTTGGCAAATAATTTAAAATCAATTTCGTATACTGAATTCTTAAGTACGACTTTGCTTTGACGTTTGCGGAAGCGGCCGGCAAATGAAGGATTAAAGCGGCAGCCCAGCACGACATGAATAGCCAAAAGTTATCGGAGTAAAGTGTTGCAAAATAAACACTCAAATAAGATGGTTGCGTTTAGATTGTTTGCACATTCGAATGGATTCACTCAAGTAGCATTGATTGCCGCTTGACCGAGAGCTGCTTGTCTTTCCACAATCATAAATCCGCAATTCCTTGTATGTGTGTGTCCGTGTGTGTGTAGACGCCTTTATGCTCTCATTTCGATTTGCATATTGTATTTTCAAAATTTCATTGATATGCAGATAAACACAGAAATAGCCAAAGCTAATGAAATTGGCAAGTCAAACATATGTACACACACTCGGGCATATATAGGTGGGTTTATAGAATTCATACTGTATTGTGGGCATAAGTTTTGCTGTGATATTACGGCTCGCACAAATATTGAATGTACGAATTTCATATTTAAATATAATCAACGAAACTATTTCATGCAGAAATATGTATATACTTAGTATTATATATACATATATATACTATTTTAAAATTTATATACACCAAATATCAAATAGCGAGAAGATGTGCTGTTGATCTTAGCTCACACACAATTTAATATGCAGGTATTTTAGTAAAATCTTCACAGGGTTGCCATATTTCAATAATTCACTGTCATGAATGCATGTATATGGAACAACTTGGTTTGGTAATACTAAGCTTTCCAATGGTATCACAATGGGCCTCCTAAAGGCCTAGGTGGGTCGAAGGCAGCTACTTTACCTACCTACCTAAGCTTTTCAAAGTAGGTTACAGTCTCAAAATTTCTGATTCCTTTGGCATAAGAAATTGTATTTAGATAATTATGTTGTTGAAAAGGCATATGTGAATTTACGGTAATAGATAATAAATAGAACTGGTCGGAAATGGTTTCTCTACAATGTTTTGAGCTCGCTTTCATTAGCGTTTCCATATAAGAAACAGCAGTGTTTGATATTATAGTGACCAGGGTTGCAAATAATGCATTAATAAACAAGAAACAACGTGAACTTCGGGTGCACCGAAGCTATTATACCCAGGAGTATTTTTTATAACAACTATACTTATGTATAACAAAAAATTAAAACGTAACCCGCCAACGGTTTGCATTCAGCGGACAAAGTTTTGCTAGTTTTTTCAATATATTTACGTTGTTTGCTATAAACAACTTTATAGTCTATTTGAGGTTACTTAATAATAAAAAAAATATCTTTGGCTTGATTTATATCGGTTATTTGTTATGGTCGTTCGATATAAAAAAATTTATGAAAATATTTTAGTAATGCCTTGGATAATAATACATGCCAAATTTGGTGAAGATATCATTCCAAACCAGAGCTTGATTCCGACCGTTCAGTTTTTTTAGCAGTTATATGCTATAATGATCCATGACAGACGGACATGGCTCAATCAACTCAGCTCGTCACGCTGATCATTTGTGTATATATTTTGTGGCAAACTTAAAATATTCTGTTCAGGGTATATTAATTGAATTAACATTTGAATTAAATTTTTTTAGTGACTCCAATAACTATTACAGGAACACCAGATACCGATAGCTCAAAACTAATGGTCAACATATATGTGTATCTGAATATACTGACGCTATAAAGTTTTTGAGTTTCAGGGTTAAGATTTCCTAGATGGCTATCCATTCTAAATGGGGTATTTTGCTTAGACTATATAAAGATACATCCCGTCCAAAAACTCTTTTTCTTCTTTCTCTCCCTTGTATTGTTTTTGCTTCCAAATACAAAGACATATTTAAAGGCAGTTTTTAGTCAGAGTCGAACTCAATTGTTTAAGGATGTTAAATCAGAATCAAGTTAGTGAATACTTTACATAGCTAATCTTGATTAAAAATTACTAAAAAGTTTGAAGTAAAGTTTCTTGCTGAAATTGATCAACCCATGCAGGGATCTAAAGAAGAAGGAAATTAAAAAAAAAACACAAAAAGCCTCTTTTATCCTTGGTAAAATCCCACCTCTGGGAAAAGAATAAATATTATATTATTTTCTTAATTATGTATATGTATATATGTAATGTAATTAACAATTGTCTTCAGTTTATAGTAAATATATTGGTTTTTGACCACACGATGTGAACAAATTTGCTCTCAGCCCTTTTATTACATTGTGTACTCGTATATTTACCTAAAATATAAGGTTTATTGCAATTAAATAACATTACCCGTTATTACAAACGTTGTAAGTCTGTATATATGTACTGTAACAACCAGCATGTCTTCGTTTTAAATATTTATTGATGAAATGCAAAATAATTAAGCAATTATGAATACAGGCTGTCAAACAAATAATAAATACATATAAGATTATAGCTGTTGAAATAAACACATATATTTAACATTTATGTGAGGTCTATTTGGGTTCAAGTTAAAAAAAGCTTTTCAGCCTTGAAGTATAAAAAAGTACTATTTTTTACTAGAGATAAATAATCTCGTGTGGTCTTTCTAAAATTAGTTGTATGAAATGTTAAGAGTAAAGCTATCCAAAACCTTTTCGAACACATTAATTACTTATGAATTGAAACTTGATGAGGCACCCTATATTTTGAAGTTTGACTAAATGAATGCAACTCGCAATTAATAACAGTTCTCTGAATTGTCTTTCTACAACTGCTTTAATAAATTGGAATTGAAATAATATTACTGCACAAATTAATGTTTATCCGTATTGATGTATTAAAATTACCGCATCATTACTGGCAACTACCGAGGACAATCAGAAACGTAAAGAATAACCTTGTATGTCTGCCTATGAAATTTTGTGAATAAATTTTAACGAAAAAGTGGACAATATATCCATATAAAGTCTGAAGATAAAGAAAGTGAGACGAGAAGATTTCTGGAAATAGAGCAGCCCTTCGACTTCGACGAAGAGCCAAATATTGTAGCTCTGCTCATACAAAATACGATTCTTTAGCCAACTCTAAGTGATCGACGCTTGAAAGCTGCTGTCAGAATAGAAATTAAGAATTTTATATATTTTACATACAATACTTAGTTTCTCTCACTAAATAAAACTATCATATTTAATATATATATCTTTAATATAAACCTGAGGTAATAACCTTACTTCAACGAGAACGAGCTCTTATTGCTATTGTATAATGAGGTAGTTTTAGCTAGCGTAGAAAGAAATTAAAGGAAGTGAGACTTGGAATCAAAAATAGAAGAAAATAGCAACATATAAATGAGTTTGCTTTTCAGTCGAGAATAAAAGGATTCAACAATTATTAGACCATATCGAACATACTTAAAGTTCCATAATACTAAAACCAGTTAAGCTTAAAAACTAAAAAGTTAGAGAGATTTCAATTTTAAACTTGATTTTATTTAATAAATGTTCTTCCTTTTACACATTTTCTTATTCTAATTTCGTAACTACGTATATATATATGTGTATGTATTATATTTTTATGTATCATATTTTTATTGCAATATAGGGTTGTTTTTAAGTGTACATATTTAGTTTACTATTCTATGTGCATCGTAAATATGTTTGTACGTATTTTTGTATACACTGTAATTTATGTGTTTTCTTCGTTTGGCAATGGTTTTCACATTTTTGTGAAAGTCAAACATATTTTCATGCTAATGTTTTTATGAACATCCCCCAATATTCTATGGAGCTCAATATTTAGAAAAATTTATATAATTTTATTTTATTTTTCCTTCCTGTGCTTTATTATTTTTATACACATACATATACATGAGTATATAGTATATGGCAAAATAGTGTAGTTTCTGAGTGAAGTGTACGTGTTTTTTAGCGATCTTGGGTTACCCACGGATAATCCCAGCTTTTCACTGTGAGGCACACTAGTTTTTAGTTTTGGGAAACCGGACGTTCTAAGTGGATTTAGCCTAAATAAATAGATAATTACAAATTTATATTATATAAAAAATCATTTGCATTTACCTGCCCCTTTCTTTGAGAGAATTTTTGTAATTTTTAGTTATATTTACCATTTCCTCTAATTTTTTGCTGTTATTCACATAAAACGTGCACATTTTTCAATCTGCCGTTTTAGTTTGATTAAACAGCTGTTCCCCGCTTGGTTTTTTCCTTTTCGTTTTGCTTGTGGTTGTCGCGTTGCCAACCATTTATAACGTAGGTAAGGTTTTAGCGCTAGGGTTTGAACATACCATTGACAGGTGTACCCAAACTATTCTCAAGCTGAGGTATGGCCTCTGATAATAATATGGGGTGTACACCAGAGAATCCTTTTCGGAAGAATTGCAAAATTTCGAGAACGCCACCTAATGGCAGAAATTAGGAATTTACCGCTGCTGGATCAACATTTAATGGTGAAATTACTGACCAGGCTGAATAAATATCAGAAAATAGTGGAACTTCTGATTATTTCAACAGACTGGGTAGTAAACTAAAGGAGTTGGTAAATAATGGCTGGTCATAGACACGTTAACCAAGCAATGCGCGATCTATTGAGTAGCATAATGAGCCGATAACCAATGAGTCAAGTAGAATAATAAAGGAAAACACTAGCGGTCAACATAGCGCAGGCGAAAAATGGGTGAACGTTGTAAAAAAGAAGAAACCGACTAAGCAAAAAATAAGAACGAAACCGGACGTCATCTTTATAACCAAACAGGAGGGTGCGTCATATGCAGACATTCTGCGGAAAATAAAAAACGACAGCGAGCACTAAATCTTGAGTACGAAGTGCCCGAAATATCTGGAGAAGATGACGTCACTAAAAAAATGAGGATATTGCAGCTAAATCTAAATCACAGTGTGTCAGCATAAGAATTGAGCAAACAAATATAATAGAAAACAAGTAAGGAAGGGCTAAGTTCGGATGTAACCGAACATTTTATACTCCCGCAAAGTCAAATGGTATACTCGTTTGAGATTTCTTTGTGGATTGACTGATATTTTCGTTAGAAGGTCAACTATAGGCACTGGGGTCCACATATTTAGTACTTAGTAGCTTGAACAGTTTTGGTTCGATTTAGACAATTTTTGGTCACAAGGTGGCATACTTTAAACCTATTATTCACGAAAAGTTTTACCCCGATACAATCATTGTTGCTTGATATGCATAGTGGAAAGTGAAAGAATCAGATGGAATTGAAAAAGGTGTTATATGGGAAATAGGCGTGGTTGTAGTCCGATTTCGCCCATTTTCGCATTTTGAAGAATACAAATATAGAAATATAATAAATATAAAATTTGGCTGAAATCGGTTAAGCAGATCCCAAGATATGGGTTTTGACCTAAAAGTGGGCGGTGCCACGCCCACTGTCTAATTTTGAACGCGGTTCCTATAAAGTCATCTCATACCATCTCAGAAATAAAATTTAATGTCTCTGGCGTGTTTCGTGCTTGATTTATCGCGCTTTTAGTAGTTTTTAACAGTACCGTTATATGGGGAGTGGGCGAAGTTGCCACCCGATTTCAACTATTTTCACACTGTAGGTAGAAGTTCTAAAAACATTTGCTTCCAGCTTGAATTTTATTATTATAGCTTTAGCGGTTTGGCACATTAAACATATTAGGAGCGGGACCACGCCCACAAAAAAAAATTTAACTGCAGATGCCCCTCCCTAATGTGATCCTGTGTACTAAATAACAGTCTTGTATCTTATTGCGGAGCTTAGTTATGGCAATTTATTTGTTTTTGATTAATGGGGTTTTGTGGGCGTGGAAGTGGTCCGATTACGCCCATCTGCAATACCAACCGTCTCCTGGTACCAAGAAACATGTCTACCAAGTTTCATAAAGATATCTCAATTTTACTCAAGTTAGAACTAGCACGGATGGACAGACGGACGGACAGACAGTCACCCGGATTTCAACTCGTCCCTTCATCCTGATTATTTATATATATATAACCCTATATCTAACTCGATTAGTTTTAGGTGAACCGTTAGGTGAACAAAACTATTATACTCTGTAGCAACAGGTTGCGAGAGTATAAAAATATTGATATCGCGTTATTAACCGAACAATACTGCCAGCGTTCGGAAAGCACTTGGATCGCTGGGCAACCTTTTAAATACAAGGCAAACGAACCTCCTGTTAATGAATAGCGGCACGAAAAACGAAGGAAATAAAAGTTCTATAACTGACCTTATGTTTACTAATGACACTCTGAGCAGACAAATTAAGTGGGAGGTGGTCTGCGCCAATGGTTTGCTACCATGAGTTTAGAGCAGAAAACGGAAGTCTTGCTCATAAGCACAAGGAAAGTGGAAGAAAGGTTAACACACACCATAGGGGGTGCGAGATTACTTTACAGCCACAGCTGAAGTATCTGGGAGTAATACTAGACTCCAAATTAAAATTGAAGGAACACCTGGTGTATACTTCCGGTAAAGCAAACAAAATTTATAATGCCCTATCGAGAATGACGGCCAATAAAGTCTGCGTGCGTTCCAGCCGGCGGTTTTTAATAGCAAAAGCAATGAGTTCCGTGGTATTATATGCAGCATCAATATGGATACAAGCGCTAGATATCAAGTCATATGCTAGAGCAATAAACGCAGTGCACAGGCTCTCTGCTGAAGTATTAGCCAGCATGCCGCCTATAGATATATAGGGGGTAGAATTCGAGCGACTGTACCAGCTTTCAGTGCCGTCTTCAAAAGTAAAAAAAGAGGAGAGAACTAAGAGCCTAACAATGTAGCAGCAGCGGTAGAAAACCTCATCTAAGGGACGATGGACCCTCAGACTGATTCCGGACATTCATTCGTGGATAGACAAACGACATGGGGACCTGATTTTCCACCTAACCCAAATACTGAGTGGACATGGATGCTTTAGAAAGTATCTCTTCAAAATTCATCATGATGTTAGTCCGTATTGTCCAACGTGTACAGAGTACATGAAAGACTCTGAACACTTATTTTTTCAGTGCCCCCGTTTTTTAAATATTAGGGAAAAGTTAAAATCTACACTCGGCGGTAGTCTAACGGTGGAAACTTTGACAGCACATATGTGTCAGTCCTCTGATAAATGGTAAGATGTCAGCGAAGCGGCAGCTCTGATTATGACAAACCTGAGATACTTGCAACAGATTAGGAGTCAGTCAGTCCGTACCGTAGATGAGACCTAAATGTCATTTTCTCTCCCATGAAGTAATACTTAATCTGGTGGTTCCGTGGGAGAGACATGAGTTGGGAGTAGGTTAGGCTTAGGGAATTAAAGTTCCGCACTTCGGTTTTCGATGCCGAGCGGTCTTTCAAACGGCTAAACTATTGGTGTATGAATGTTACTCATACGCCCTGGATATCAACTCCCTACACTTCATTCTTCAGTTGAACTTTCTTAAATTGGATTTTACAAAAATTTTCATTAAAGAACAACTATTATAAGAAACCATCCTTAAACATTAAACACACACATGCCCAAAACAGCACAAGTTAAATTTAAACAGCACAAGTCGTGCTTCTTAACTCTTCAGCTGACAGCATTGTCCACTCACTGTGCTCTTTACACTTAACCCAATGCATACTCAGGCATATTTGTGTGCATATTTATGCAATTGATTTGTATTCAAAGTCCGGCGCGTTGGTATGCGATCGATGTGCACTATCAAAACTGATAGCCGGAAATGAGTGTCCTGCGAACTTTGCTCACATTTCTTTCGATGAGCTGTGTGTGCTGCCTGCCTGCCATTCAATAAATATGTGAGCAGTCACGAGTAGTTTGATTTGCGTGCATGTGAGTGTGTATGAGCGCGTTAATGCACTTGATGGAATTTCAATTCCTTTATGCTCGTTGTGCAACGAAAAACCTAGCAATGTACCGCCTCTTTTCTAATATTTTTTAACCTTTCAACATGTAGATGATACACGTGTTATGTGTGGATGTGTATGTGTGAGCTGGTCTAGTTTGTTTGCATATGCAGTGAACGTTTGGCTGCAGCATTGCAGTTGTATTGCATAAAGCTTAAAACTTGAGTGAGTGTTTGCCCAGCAATCAAAGGAAACTGCCTCGTAGCCTTTGCATATTTTTCTTAATATTTGGAATTCCAGTCAAAGAACAGAAGTTGAAGTGCTGAGTCCTTTACGTCGCTGTGTCTCATCCGTAAGTCAAGCGCACTTGTTATAGGCAGCAATTTAAATTTATTGCATTCCATATCAGTTGACTTGTGGAGATCTTTTTGTTGGATTTCGTTTGAAGCTTTCAATGAAATATTCAAGTTAGAGTTTAGGGTTATTAAATTGTCTACGCAGTTTCTCGGCGGAGGTAAACAACTTCAGTTCAGATTAAATTATTGGACATTCACTCAGAGATGCTTTGGAGAAGATAATATGATCTATAAAGAGCGATAAAGTGTAAATAATCATTACTCTAAGAGCGAAAGCTTAAATATTATAAAGGGTGTTTTTGGACATACATGATTTGACAATAATAACTTTTTCGCACTGAAAATTTTGACTAAATTTTAGTAAACTATCTCCTTGACAATTAAAAAGTCTCTTTTTGGTCCTACAAATTATGAAAATAAAATAAGGTCCCTCTTAAAATCACAGGTGAACTCTGGAAGATGGCTATGCCGTAAGAAGGTGACAGTATGGTGAGAACTTCCCAACATTGAAAGATTTTGGAAAACTGAACACGTTTTCGCTAGTTAGCAGTACAACGGAAATTTTAGAGCCTAATGGTTTTAGATAACGACATGCAGTTGTTGTTGTGTAGCGCAGAAAATATTCTCGAAATTATTTTAAGAAATCTAGGATAGTTCTTGTCATGAAACAAATAAGGGTCAAATTCGACTATCAAAATTGTTCGAGTTACCTAGCGAATCTAGAGTGATCTTCGCGCAATTTCATTCTGAATACTAATGCAGGTTAAACCTTTACCTACCTAGAATCGATCTCGACATACTAAATTTATGTATGTTCTACGAGTGCAAAGAGTCCCTACATGATTATAGCAAACTTTCAAAATGGTCCATAAAACCAATCTACCTAGAACCCCTTATGATGACCCCGGTGATTTTGATGATTAGATATTCATTACCACAACAACAAAAATACTGAGAATGAAATTCAAGCAACCAGATGCTAGCTTAATTTACTTTTACTTGTTTGGTTATGGAAATTATTACTAAAGAAGAGGAAGAAGTCATTAATGAGTTCAGCTTCAGACTATAGGCTTCCCTATAA